AATATACGGTACGAACTTGAAATGACTTAATATTAATATAAAATGGTAGCAGTGGCAATGTGAAACGAAATAAAAATAGTAGCAAAACAAAAATTTCGAATTTTGCGAACTTAGACTTCACCGCGTGACCATCGTTATCGACCGAGATTCTCCATTGTTTGTTCATTTAGTTCCAAATGAAAGCGTACATCGTTCTTGACGTGAAGTAAGTCGATAAATGCATCACGACAGATAACTGTGGCTAGAGAATAATCATCGGAACTGCACCTACTATATGACTCGTATTATATCAACTCGAGAGCGATCGTTTATATTTTTCTCCGATAATATGATTATTATGTACATCGTAGCGCACCGTGCATAATAATTCGAAACGAGAATATCGATTATTAATATCTGACGATGACTCACGTAATATACCTGATGCGAAATGTATTTCGTCAAACAAAAAAAAAAAAATCACACGACAATAGTTCACTTCGAGATTATAGTTAAACACAAACGTTACTCGAGCATCGAAAAATATGTATATAGACTCTTTCTATGGTTTTTCGAGCGTGAACGTAAAATAGTGGAGGAAAAGGAAGTGTAATAAAAAAAAAAAACAAATTAACTTAGATTATTATATCTGTACTTTATTGTGTCTTTAGTAGACGTGTCTCTTGCGGCTACGTCCATCGACGGAATGAACATTGACGTAAATAAATAAAACGGATAGAAAGTACAATGGTGCTTTGGTGAATTTCCATCCGCAATCGAGATCTATTAGTAGTTGTGAAAAACCATGTTTTTCAACACCCTGTAATTATCTGAATATCCTTATCAATAATTACCAATATATAATTGATTTCGAATCCAGAAATATTGGTAATTAATTTGGCGCGAAATTTAATTTACATTTGCGATCATTTCTTTCTGCGATATCTATTCTATTTCTTTTTCTGTGATAGAACGTTCATCATATACCACGAACAAGGAATTAAAAAACAAAGTTTCACGAGCGGAGAGCACGGAAATTCCCGTCTCTGTTTTAGTCGCGATTTCCAACACAGCGACTAAAACGTGTCGTTATCGTTTCTATATTTACAGAAGTATATTTACACACCTTCGCGTACACGAATGATTTTGGCGGCGTGCACGAGGATAGTACATACTTCCGGTTACCCGGAAGTACACTCTTGTCCATAAGTCATAGGACACTTTACACCATTTTAAAACAAATCTGGAATACATTACACATTTAATTACTTATTTCGATATGAACGGTTCTGTTAATGACAGTTACGTCTAAGGAATATATTTCGAATGATATGGTTGGTACTTTGTCTCTAATTAATATAAAAAGAAATTGAATTATTTATAGTACGGTTCAAGACCCGTTTTCAATGCATTCACTTTCGGCGACTTTGTCTCGTATTCGTTTGCTCTCGTCAAGATATTTATCTCTGCTTATGTTAAAATGTATTTGAGCGTTATCGAAGTTTGTTTATACATTTTCAGTTGAATGCAGTTCATAGTGCTTGAACGAGAACTATGGCATCGCTCGTTTTTGTTCAGTTAATATTCAGCATTCGAAAGATGAACATGGCGAGTATCAGAAAAGAATGATCAATACAGAAAAGTACAGAAATAATTACCCTGTCGAAAGAAGAGTATGTAGTGTACGTGAAATCGCAAGTAAAACGGGAATTTTTAAGTCAGTATTGGAGGGAATGTTTGAGGGCAGTGCCAAAAAAGCGAAATGGACGATCAAAGATGGCGACACCAGTGGAGGATCTTTCTATGGAAATAATAAGCAAACGATATAGACACATAGAATCTATTTAGCATGTGTCCCATGACTTATGGACGGGAGTGTACATACGTTCACCTCACAATAATGAGGCTCTAGTCATTTTTACCTAGTAAAAATCTTACGTTCCCTAGAAAGAACGAAAATTCCAATAGCCAGACGACTACGGAAATTTTGATAGATACAAAATGGACAGAAGCGAAAGTTCAAGGTCATACTGCAGAAAATCGTGAACGCTGGACCAAAAAAGAATAGATAAATATAACAACTAGCAGCAAAAGAAAGCTGGTGTTGATTGGTACGGTGATACTAAAATGGAGGCCAAGGGGTTAGCCGCTGCTCAGAGGGAGCGCCACGGGTCAGTGAGGCCCGAATGGCTCCGAACGCAAGAACTATGGTATAGTGGCGCCAGCGTCAGGCTGAAAAGCCTAAAAAGGCACTCAAAAAAACACGCAGGAAAAGGTGGTAATAGTTTCGATAACAATAACAATAGACCATCTGATTCTAAACTGCCCAAAATATAAATAGGTACACTTCGCGAGAAAACCCTCTTCAGGACAACTTGGCAGACGAAAAAAGCCACGACTTATTAGAGTTTATCAAAGAATCCAAACTTTAAAAAAAAATAAAATAATGTAAAGTATCACACTGCGCCTCCTCCCCACCCCTCTCCATGGCGTCGGTAGTAACCGCGCAGCTGATGCGACCTTAAACCTTAATAAAAATACTGAGTCTCTCCAGTGAGATCGAGTGGTAGGGGAAGTGAGAATGTTTGGTAGTTTCTGGACTTACGCTACTGTACAAAAGTTTGCAATTACTACTTCATGATTATTCTGATTGAAAGAAGGATAATTCTGTAGGGCGTTCCAAAATTATGAGAAGAGATGTAGAGGGCGTTCTTGCGTGTGTCTGTATGTTTGATCTGCACATGTATCTTCCATATTCAAATTTCGCGCGCTGGAAGTTATAATCAGAAGCCTTGTATAACCTCTTTTGAAATTATGTTAGCAAGAAATTGATTAACCAGGCTAAAGGACAAATCTTTTGGACAGTAGTGTACACATATACGGAAGTAGGAATTCTCTTTGAAGAGAAAGAGGAACACCTCTTATTTTTTCTTGAAGTGAAAGAAGAATTCTCCAAAAGGACCGAAGGTGTTTCAAAAGTCTTAGTCAGCTAGGCGTTAATTTACGTTCAAATTTAAAAAAAAAACTTAAATTTTTTTCAATATCTTTTGTGAGGAATCTTCTTAAGTTTTTCGAATTAGAATTCAAAAAAATTCTTATTTTTTCGAATTAAAATTAAAAAAATCATTATTTTTTTAGAAAACATTTAAAAAATTCTTTAAAAAAAAACCCGATATTTTGTATGACATCCTAACGCCATGGTGAGGAAGACTCCAAACACCACGTTTAACGGACTATCGATATCGAAGGTGCGATATATCGTTCGCTGATACGACTGGCTCGACCGAGAACCTACCGCGTTCGCAAAAATATATACATTATACTCGGAGCTCAGTTGTAACGGTTTAAATAAAACACGTGTGTACACTCCTGTTTGAAGATTACCTCGTGTCGATCTCTCGTATCTTACACTTTATCGACTACTTAGTAACTAACTGACTAGTAATCAAGGATCGATCTGAATCGATCAACTCCTCTCTTCGAGCGTTTATACTTAACATATACAAGAATGAAGTAAGTACATAATAAGAAAGTTGAAAAAGAACGAGCACCAGTATTGACGAGTAGTTCTAACATGGCGTCCACCATTACGGCGTCGACCTGAAGCGTGGATATCTATTATCGAAATTCGACTTGATATGGATTTATCCTATTTATCTGTAATTTAATCCGTTCGTAAATGATTTTAGAGTTGTTGGAAGAAATATTCATTGACATATCGAGTAGTCATTTTTTTTTTAAGCCAACTATAGCTGCCTAATTATACGTATTATTCAAAAAATGTATGTAACGTCATATATGATGGAAATATCAAGAAATTATCGCTTGTAACGCGTACAATTTACGAGGTTATCGTAACGTGTTAGGTTAGGTAGCCATAAGATATTTTTTCTTTTATAACCTAACCTCACATACATCGATTCGAATGTTTTTAGTATAATTTTCACACAGTTCTGCTACACCATATAACGAAGAATCTATAGTTGGCTTCAAATTTTACAAATTGAACAGTTTCTAAAGATTAAATTCATAATCAAAAAATCTAACCTCTTTTTCTAAAGGCAATTCGAATTCGAACGACGATCTTGAAATTGTTCAATTTCTACCGAACTACGGAAATACATTTTTTTTCTTTAACTTCGCTTACAATTCTCATATTTTCAAAGAGAACTCGATATTCAGCTGGGACGAGTTCGAGTCTCCAATCTTCCGTTTGCGACCATTCGAAGCTTAGATATCTTCATCTTGCAGCCCTATGAATTTTTTAAAGACACCTAGGTGCCTTAGACAGCCACGACATCTTCCAATTTTCCCCAGAAGCTAATCGAACGATCCATGGAAAGCAGATATCCCACGACGATGCCTTCTTCCGTTCTCCAGTCTCAATCTACTCGAGAACGCGACATTGTAAAATTCTAGGAACACTTAGAGCAGTTCCAGGAACCGAGAGCTTCCACCATGATGCAAGAAGATGTTCATATTTCAGAAAATGGAAGCTTTGTAATTTTTAAGGAAGTGAAGCTTCATCTGTGGTCTAAGAAAAGCTTTGATGTGCCAAGAACATTTGTCCATTGTCCAAGAAGATTTTTATCTTTCAAAAAGTAGAAGCTTCATCCACATTATGATCCTTGACTTCAACACAAAAGGGCATCCAACTTCTGTGAAACAAAAGTTTCATCCACAGTCCAAGAAATATCTCTCCAAAACATATGTTGTCCTCAAGATGCACCTCTCTTCTTTACTTCCCTGTTACAGTGAAACTTATTTGTAGTAGAGCTGAGGATTTCTCATAAACAGAATTTTTCATGCACCTTATTTAAACACAATGTATGTGTCTTCATAGAATACAGAAACAGAGTAAATTGCAACCAAACTAGTCTAGAATTCTCTAATAGCAATTCCTTAGAATCCTTCACAGTCCTCTTCGCTTATTCATTCCTTACAGCTCTCAGAATATTCTTCAGATTCAACAATATCCTTCACAAACCATCATATTTCTCACAATCTTCCTCAGAATAGTCCTAGAACCTCTCCAAAGAGTTTAAGTCTTCATTAATAACAGCAGCCTCAGCATCTTTCTCCAGAATCTCCTTGCCATCATCCATTTGATCCTGTCCATCGGCTTCATTGACCAAGATACTTTCCTCTCCAGTTCCCAATGCATCTTCTGGTGCCAGGAACAGGTTTGTCCTTCCCTTACACTTCCTATGATAGTCAGGATTATCTGGAGCAGGTCTGTGACAGGAATCACAAACAGTATCCATCTTAGAAGTGCAAGGATGGGCCTCATAGAGACCTGGACCACATCTAGAACAGATCCAACAGGGCTGGATGCTGTGATGGGGGCTGTAGGTGCCTGGAGCACATTTGCCACACTCTGTGTCACGACCACGGACGCAGCGGTTCACCACACCCCAGCCTGGACCACATCTGCTGCAATGGCTGCCGCTTTTCTGGTGCCTGATGCGGGGTCTTGCCTCACTCACCTGGAAACACAGACAGATGGCGCTTTAGTCAAGAGGAATTAAACGCTATAGGCTTCTGTTACTTCTAATTATTATAACAGCTTTTTGGGGAATTTTTAGGATTTTTTTGGTAGGAGGGGGACGTTAATTGAACTTATTTTTTGTTCAATATTTATTCCAATGGTAAGGTTATGTTAGGTTAGGTTTGTAGATTTTTAGGTTAATTAAATTCACATTCTGTTGGACATTTATTGTAATATTGCAAAGGTGTATATTGTAGATTTTCTATATATTTTTTAACTTAAAGACCATAAAATTCACAAATTTTTCAATTAATTTCCTTTGAGGAATTTCCTAGGTCTTGTAGAACTGTACAGGTTATAAATTTCATACCTATCAGATTTATATTGCCCCTGGGTAATGAGCACCATTGAAGTCTTTGGTATTTTAGGAATTTTGAGGTCGACTAAACTGGATTTCTTGGTTTCTTTGACAAATACATTGTAAAATTTATATTTATTGTGCTTATATTGCTCTTGGTTGAGGGGATGTATGAAATGTCTTTGAAGTTTCAAAAACTTTTCTGTCAACTAAATTGGATTTGTACTGAGAGTACATCGTAAAACCATAAAGCTAACCTGAAATCGCTGTTTTCTTTATTTGGAATTTCCTATTCAACGATATCCTTTAAGATTTTTCAAATTTTCTAACAGTTTTTATTCCCAGTTATTATAAGGTATTAAAATTTCGTAATTACATTACCTTTATAAATAACGTAAACTTATTTTTTAAGGGGCACGTCATAAAGCGATAAAAGTAGTATAAAGCGAGTAAGTTCTTAGATCTGTTAAGGTATGTTGCAAGAGGCGTGATATAAAGCAATAAAACCAGGTGCCTCTATGCAGCTTTTCCTTCTAATAAATGTTGCTGTAAATTCTAACTTGTCGTCTTAAATTACGAAGATTACCATCTTCCTTACTTCCTCGTTTGAAAAAAAAACTTCGAAACATAAAATAACTGAAATCCTAAAATAATTGCTAAATAATAACTTACATTTCACAATAGAAAAAAAGATTCGATAAAAATTGAAAACTGAAAATATTTTTTTTTTATTTAAAAAAGTTTATATTTCAAAAATTAATATTTATCATATTGACAATATACAAGATAAAAAATTTTCATGTACTTCCGCCATTGTCAGTTATTATCGATACGTACAATCTATTATTCAATTTTATTACCATTTATTTTAGACATTATCTTGATTTAACGTAATTTCACGATAAATGACTACGTTAGTCATATACAACGCTACAGTAATGGCGTTGAACTGACGAAAACGTCACGAGGTACGTCGAGTAAATTTTGCAACCGAAGCACTGTAAGTTCACCATCGACTACAGAGACAATCGAACAGTCGATTTACCTATACTGGGTGTGTTATGTAATATAACTCTATATAAAACGTGGCCACAGAGGTGGAAGACATTTTGTTCTAAATTTACCGCATAGCGTGAAGGAACAGGTGCCAAAGGATAAAGTCACCTGACTACGGGGAACACCTTGCGCCTTTCTTTGACCGTGTGTCCGAGCCGCGATCGAGATACACAGCAGAAAACGTGCACGGTCAATGTGCAAATTAGGATTTCTTGTAGCTTTACACCACCAAACCCCCGTTATTATAACCTCGTGGCGTTTTACGATTCTCTGGCGCGTGTTTGATTTGCTTTCACGCGCGAATAATAGCACCCCCCCCCCCCCCAAAAAAAAAACGCATGCAGTGTGCGTTCTTTCATGTACCTATTCAATGGTGCCCCCTTTTTTTCGGGCAGTGAATTACAGATTTCAATTGTAAAGTGGAGGTTATGTATTCATAACCTCCATAATTTCTGTGATTACAATTTTTATTTTTATTGTGGAAAGTTTTATTATGAAGTATATAGATACAACGAAAACGTGTATTAAATTTATTTTACAAATAGTAAAAACAGTGGAACTTCGATTAAAAAGCGTTTGGAAACCTGGTTGAATAAATTAGCGTAATAAAATGATTTTAGAGGTGAAGTTAAAATAACCGTGTCCATTTGCCCGGAATAACTCTTACAGGTGGTTAAAAACGAATTCGAAGTTGGCGAAACAGAGTGCCCTGTTACAGCACCACACTTACCTAGAAGCAAGAAGCTTTCAAACTAATTCTTGATTTCTCAACCGGTATCGACCAGCCTGATTCCATTTAAGAACGAATAAAACCAAGTTGTTTCCTACGTAGATTTCATGATTTCCTGATTTCAATCTTTATACCCCTTCTTGTACGATATCGAATTACGTTAGTTGTATAGGTTATGGTAATCCACACGTTATATACGTATCTAACATGAAAATCACCTTGATACGCTGAATACATTTCAATTTTTTTTTATTTGTTACATTTGATAAAATAAGTTATAAGATAAATGAAAAACCAGCATAATTCAATTTTTAATTCGTTCATTATGGCACAAGAAACGTGTAATATTTTAGATTTGTCAAAAAGTATAGGAGTGATTAATATCCAGAAGTCGATACATCAATTCAAACAAAATATCTATACATAACCCTACTTTTCTCATTTCAAATGTCATCTGAGCCACCGGTGAAAGTACGTACACACGAGAAGCAACCTACTGACCATCTCCCCGCACGGCCAGTCAATCCCGTAAATCTTAAAAGTCATCGAAGCATACTTATGTTAGAGCGTGTCTTTTATGTGTATAAAGAGTGTCTTCCAAGCCTGCGTCGCCGTCCCATTCGCCGTTGTGTATCTGCCCAGTTTGAGAGATCGATAGAGATAGAGAGGGGACGAAGATCGACGTTCGTAATGGAAAGAACGATCGGGTCCAGCGGTGCAGTTTTCGCCGCAGCTGGCAGCAGCCGGCTGCTGGCACGCGCCAACGGTCACCGAGCTATCAGGTGCATCATTGCACCGGGCCTCGATCCTTCGTGAAACTCCGTCTATCTTTTTCTTCCTTTTCACCGCTTTCATTTTCTCCATCTACCCAACTACTGGCCGCTCGATTCTCTATTTATATCGTGATCGCAAGCCAATTCGATTGTGGAGATATATTAATTGCTTGAAATATCACGATATTGCAATTTTTTGGTTATTGTTAGAGTTTTTTTTTTGTTCGACGTGGCTGTTCGGTTCGTTTTGGTGTGTCTGTAAATGTGTCGTTCGTAATAAGTGACTTTATTATTTTTATAAATTGTTCTAAGAAAAATTTTAAATAACGATATTAGATATGTTTCATTGTCATTGTTTAATTTTTATATGATAAAGCGATTTATTGATCACCCTGTATTAAAAATGTTTAGATGCAACAATTCCGGTATAAATTTTTCGCTTGTTTTATTGAATAAAATTGAACGATATCAGATATCGTTTAACTTGTCTTTCCATACACCTCATCCTGTTTTATTCTAATCTAAGATGTCAGTCTCTTAATTCCTATAACGCATTCCACCTTTGTCGGAAAACAAGCACGAGTTCTTTAATTAAAAGCAGTGTTCTACGTTAAGTTTTGTTCCTCCACGGGGTATAGGTTACCTACCTTTAACGCGAACGTCGGTTTTTCAACTTCGTTACATTACTTGTAACATTCTTTTCCACGCAGCGAAGGTTTCATTGTAATGCAAACGGCGAGCTTTCCAATTTAGCGGAAGGAAAAACCCAGCAACCACTGCGTTTTTTTTATAACGTACGAGTTTCCTCACATGTCGAATGAAAACCCGTTAATTCCAATGAGAAAACGGCGTTGCACGCACAGAACGAAGATGAAATAATAAAAAAAAAACACGACCTTTCTTCTTCGTTAATTTAATCTAAAACATTCAATTAAAGTAGTATCTCATAGATGGCGTTGTATGCGGAAAATATTTCCATAATTCTAACAAAAAAGAAGCTGAATACGAAAATTTATAATCGGTATCTCACATTAATAAAAAAATCCTAATCATGAATAACCTAGAAACGACTTGACCTACAATCGTCGGCAAAGGACGAGACATCTATTCCGACAACTGTACGCAACTTTTGCGTTTTCATAAAAGAGTTCGTGCTAGTTGACTGAATTACCACGTCTTGTCTCATTGGTTACAGAGAAGCGAGATTAAAAAAAAGTGAAAAAGTAAGAGGAAAAAAAGTTGCAACCACAAGCGGTGTCGGCGTAGCCAACTGACTCCCGACAGTTCGACTTTTAGGTTCTTTATTAACGAGACAGCATATGTTATACGAGTGATGAACCAGTCAGATAATTTGTCCCCGGCCAAGGGGATCGCTGTTATTAACCCTTTTCACCAGACTCGTCTCGCTCGCAAATTGACAGGGTGCATCCTTACGTGAGAGACACGGCTCGTGTTACGCTACCGATAAAATGACACTCTTGACTATGAAAATTGTACACTACCGCTCACAAGTATTTGCCTAACCACTTATTTTTTTTTTTCACATTATCTTTAATACGCGACAAATTTTTACCGAAGAAATATTCTTGTTCGTAATAACAGTCATCACAAGTGGAAATTTATAAAATACAAGGGTAAGGAATATAGTGGATTCAATAGGTGAGCAAACAGAACTTATACGTGGTAATGTATGCATACATATATTGGTCGCTGTAACGTATTATGCCAGCATTAGACACAAGTGGAGTCATCTACATATATGGTTTTATCCTTTGTGTATCGTTAGTGGAAATTACATAAATGAATGTACAGTGCTCCCTCGAACAACGCAGATTTTTTTCTTGAAAAATTTCGACATTCATTTCGAATCAATTTACACATTTAACATACCTTTACAGTTTTCTTTATCATGGTGAATAAGAGAGGTGAGAAAGAGCGAATGCGAATTTGTTCATATTAACTAATTCTTCACAAATCTATACATATATACGCACATGCATTGGAAGAATATAAGTGTACTTCAGTTTTTTGTAAAAGCGGGGGATCCCAACTAGGCGGATTTCCATGTAAGTACACGGACAGTTGACACCCCTAACCGCCGCGTTGTTTGAGGGAACACCGTAATTGTATTTAGTAAAGTAGATGTCGCTACCTTTGAGCATTAGAAGCTATTGAAGGATAAGTGTTATTATTTCCTGTGGTTAGACGCCAGTACTTGTTTAGTATCAGTCACGGAAGGATGCATTACCAAACAAATTGGAATTGTTTTTTACTTCAAGTAATCAATCAATAAACTATATTCATATAAATGTGGTGAGTGAAGCAAGGGATAAAACAAACCGTACAGTCTATTATCTGCAACTTCCTAAATGATTAAAATAAACATTTTCCCTTTATCTATAAATATTCTTAAGAAAGTATGTACACGTGTTACTACTCGTTCAGAAATAATTTCCTCGCAAAACAGATAACTGGTGGTTTCGAAGAGGCGCGACGAAACCGAAAAAAAAAAATAATTTTCTCAGCGGCCGGTGGAGCGTGATCTCG